CTTCCTGTCTATTGCTGAGTAGTATTGTATTATATGTTATCTGTTATAGCATACACTATCACAGGTTATCTATTCTTTAAGAATCTGACAGATCATTGATTTGCTCCCAGTTTCTGTCAATTACAAAGAAAACAGCTGATTTTTGTGCAAGCATAGTTTTCATTTCTCTTGGGTTAATATCTAAGAGAGGTATTGTATTGCTGGATCACACACTGAATAAATGTTTTACTTTATGAGAAGCTGCCAAACTGTTTTTCAAAGTGACTGTGCCATTTTTATCTGCCCCAATAATATACAAGAGTTGTGGTTACTCAACATCATTGTGAACACGTGGTGTTGCCAGTTTTCTGTTTTTGTTTGTGACCATTCTAATAAGGGTGTAGCAATAGGTCATTGTGGTTTTGATTTGTATTTCTCTAGTGACTAATGATGTTAAGCAACTGTTCGTGTACTTGGTTGTTACACTATGGCTTGTTTGGTGAAGTGTCCTAAAATATTTTGCCCATTCATATTTGGTTATTTTCTTATTATTGAGTTTTAAGATTTCTTGTATAGCATGAATAAAAATCCTTTATCATATATGTGTTTTGAAAATATTTTTTCAGTCAGTGGTTTGTCTTTTCATTTTTTAACATTGTCTTTTGAAGAGCAGAAGTTATTAATTTTGATGAATTCCACCGGTGGGAAAAAAAAATCAGTCCTGCTTTGGTTATACCTAATCCAGGTTAAAAACTAGACTTGAAAGGAATATGTGTTTACAACGAATTTAATTGCATCCCCCAAAAAAGTTCAAGAATATTTAACATGGAGCTGGGAGTATAGTTCAGTGTCAAGTAGAACCTGCCTACCGTGTGTGAGGCCCTGGGTTTCATCCCTAACACCCCCAAAAAGAATTCTGTTAAATACAGAATACAAAAACACTGAACACCAGGTAAAAAAAATCAGTGTTTGACACCTAAATATAAATTAGTAGACAAGACGGGCACCAGTGCTTCACGCCTGTAATTCTAGCTACTCAAGAGGCAGAGATGAGGAGGATTGCAGTTCTAAGCCAGCCCAGGCAAATAGTTCATAAGACCCTATGTCAAAAATACCCAACATAAAACAGGGCTGGTGGAGTGGCTCAGGTGGTAGAGGGCCTGTCTAACAAGGAAAGGCCCTGAATTCAAACCCCAGTACTACCAAAACCAAACAAATGTATAAGTTAGTAGACAAAGAGAAAAATTCAATGAATATTAAGGATTAAAATCAATCATTCTAAATGGACCCAGAAATGACAAAGAATGTGGAATTAGTAGGCAAGAACATTAAAATATTTATTATAACTGTATTCCACTTATTCCTGGAGATTAATGAAATACTGTACATGTTAAGCAAAGATATGTAATTTAGGTAATTTTTTAAATTACCTAAATTGAACTTCTAGAGAAAAAACTACAATTACAATGGATAAGATTAATAGAAGATTAAACACTACCAAAAAAAAAGAACAGAACCACATCTATATGATCATTTCAGAAGATATAGAATAGTCCCAATAAAAACTGTTTAGCAAATCAGGAAATAGAAGCATTCCTTTTCAAACTAATTAAGAGTACTTATGAAAACCAATAGCTAACAGCACACTATGTGGTAAATATATACATATTTTCCTAAGATGAGAAATAAGGCAAAAATTCCATTCTCTACTCAACCCAGCAAAAAATTTTTGATCCATAAATCACACCACATAAAAAGTTAACTCAAAATGAGCCCTAGACCTAAATGTAAAGTTAAAATATAAAACCCAAAGCTACATAACTTCTAAGAGAGAGATTCTTTTGTAGTTACAAAGCTAAAAGCATGATTCATATAAGAAAAATTGGTAAATTGAACACCTTCTATTGGTGATTTCAGAAAACAAGCCATGGTAATCCCAGCACTTGGGGGCTGAAGCAGGAGAATCGAAATGACCCTGTCTCAAAAAACAAACAAGCAGCTGGGCGCTTGCTCACGCTTGTAATCCTAGCTACTCAGGAGGCAGAGATCAGGAGGATATCAGTTCAAAGCCAGATCCGGGCAATTAATTCCGTGAAACCCTATCTTGAAAATACCTAACATAAAAAAGGACTGGTGGAGTGGCTCAAGGTGTAGTCCCTGAGTTCAAGCCCCAGTACTGCAAAACAAAACAAAACAAACAAGCAAGCCACTGACTAACAGAAAATATTTACCAACTGCATATCATTAAACCATTCTGGAATATATTTTTAAAACTCTCACAACTTGGACTAGTGGCATGGCTCAGGTTGTAGCAAGCATGAGGCCCTGAGTTCAAACCACAGTACTTTTCAGAACTCAGTCGTAAATACAGTTTCAGTTACACAGGAGGGAAAACCTTTTAGAGAGCTAATGTCCAGTATGGTGACTATAGTTAATAATAATGTACAAAATAAAATACACATTGGCAATTGATTATATTTTATGATACACTTTCTATTTTCTGGGCCATTATAGGTACTCATTTTTTTAGTTTCATGGACAGATGAAAAAACTTTCAAAATGCTCATATTAAAAAAATGCATCAGTGGGCTGGTGGAGTGGCTCAAGGGATAGAGCGCCTGCTTAGAAAGTGTGAGGCTTGGAGTTCAAACCCCAGTACCACCAAAAAAAAAAAAAAGGCACTAAGACTGGAGGCATGACTCAAGCCATAGCTCCTGCCCAGCAAATGCAAAGCCCTGAGTTAAAAACCCAATACCACAAATAAATAAATAAATAAAATTTAAAAAGCATTAGCCAGATATAGTGGCATGTGCCAGTAGTCCCAGCTACTTTGGAGGTTGAGGCAGGAAGATCAATTGAGCCCAGCAGTTCTAGGCCAACCGAGGCCATATAGCAAGAACCTATCTCTTAAGATTAAAAAAAGAAGACATTGTATATCAAAACATCACATGGCAGGCACCTCATGAAAAAGTATACATATACATATTTGTTAATTACAACCTCAAAAGCAATAAAATAACCCCATTAAAAATATTTGGTTTGGGCAGAAAATGTGGACCCACCACCAGAGAAGTTATAGGAGGTCATAAAAATATATGAAAGGATGCCATATTGGTGTGAATGTGACCCAACTGGAATTCCTATATATGGCTAGTCAGAACATAAAATATCACCTCTTTGAAAACAGTTTGGTACTTTTAAAAAAGGGCCACATGGGAACCTTTGGGTGACAGGTAAACTGACTATCTTGAATACGAGGGTGGTGCTGTAGATATAACTATATATACACACACTATCCAACTGTATGCTTTAAATGAGGAATTCATTGTAAGTTAATTGTGCTAATAAGAATTAAGTTTTTTGGAAAAAAAAGAGTAGAGAGAAGAAAACATTAGAGAGTGGATAGGAAAGGTTCTTAAACTCACTGGGATGCTCAGATTACAGGGAACAATGATGGTTGAAAACATATTTTTATCTTTACCTCCTGTCTCTACTAAATAAACTACTTAAATGACAGTTAAAAAATTGTAATGATAGGATCTCCTGGTGCTTACCACAGTGTTCTTACACTGACTATCAGTGTATTTAAAGAGGAGGCAAAGTAAACCTACTCCATGTGCAACTCAACCCAGGTCCTGTGCCTGGTCTGTATGGTGAATGGGGAGAAATGGGGAGGGAGAGAAAGAAATGTTAATGATAGAAACATTTGATAAGACAGTAGATCTTAAATGTTCTCACTGCAAAAATATGATAAGTTTGTAAGCCAATAGACAGGTTAGCTAGTTTGATTGTGGTATTCATTCACAATGTATATTGAAATATCACAATGCACACTGGATGCTTGCAATTCATTTGTCAAATGTACCTTGATAAAGCTCTAAAAATACCCAAATCAAACAAAGACATAAACATATAAAGACATAGAGAATGGAGAAGAAAATAACAAAGCTTGAAAACTGGGCTAGGGATGTAGCTCAGTGGTAGAGCCCTTGCCTGGCATACAGGAGACCCTGAGATCCCCAGCATGAGAGAGAGAGAGAGAGTGAGAGAGAGAGAGAGAGAGAGAGAGAGAGAGAGAGAGAGAGAGAGAGAGAGAAGCCTGCTCTCTACTGTAGGATCCAAAAGAGTCTAAATAGTTAGCACCACCTCTGAGAACATCACAGCAAACAAGAGGGGTAAGTCTCTGGGGAATCTGAGCAGCTGTTGAGGAAACACCTAATGATCCACCTCCCCTGAAGATGGGGCCACACCATGTGCAGAGCTTACCCTGGACACCTGTGCTTCTCTCTTGTACGCAAGCACACTGACCAGGTGCCAGTGGCTCACCCCTGTAATCCCAGCTACTCAGGAGGCAGAGATCCGGAGGATCAAGATTCAAAGCCCCGCCTGGGCAAATAGTTCAGAAGCCCCTATCTCAAAAAACCCCAACACTGGTGGAGTGGCTCAAGGGGTCAGAGTGCCTGCCTAGCAAGCATGAGGCCCTGAGTTCAAACTCCACTACCACTAGAAAAAAAAAATCATCAGTGGTTTTGGGAAAACATTTCAATATAATAATAGGAGATCAGAAAGTGAAGGGAAGAGAAGGAATCAAAGAACTAAGTAAAAAAAAAAAACCCTCTTAATAGAAGGATGTGAGTTTCCAGACTGAAAAGGCCCATGGAGTACCCAACTACCCAACACAGCAGATGACACAAAATTTTGAAAATTTCAGTGTACTGGTTAGAAAGAAAAAATTCTATGGGCTTTTATAAAGAAAAAAGAAGAGTTTGTACACAATCAGTCACACTAGCCTCATGTCCAAAGCTAAATGGCCACACATGGCTAATGACCACGGGATGCTCTGACCCAAATACCTCCACTCGTGATTTAAGGTAGACTTTCTTCCATGAAACTGTCTACAGGCTTTCCCGTGGACTAATTTTCCCTGATAACATTTTGTTTCATTTTATGGTAAGAAAAATGCACATTTTCTTTTTAAGGCATACATGTATCAACATCATTGTTTTTATTTTGTTTTGCAGCTGTGTTTTCAATAATGATATTTGAGACCATTACAAATCAAGATCTGCCTGTGATCAAGTGTGTGTTAATCAATCATAAGAATAATGATTCATCAGCGGGGAAGTCATCATCGCATTCCACGGTAAAGTCATACTAAAATTACAGCTTCAGCTTTTTTTCTTTAGATGCCGACTTCGTAAGCTGTTGAAACCTGCCAAGGCTAAGTGGGCTTTTCTTTTTACGTATTTCAATGTATTGCACACTTGGGTCTTGTGCAGTTGTAACGTCTATACCTCTGGCTGCCTCACACTTCAAAGAACTGTGTTCAGTGGTTGGGGGTGTGTCTCAGTAAGGGGTGCAGTGCATACTTGGTGTTCTCCAGACTCTGGGTTGCATATCTAGCCCTAGGACTGGTGTGTGTGTATGTGCCTGTATGTAAGATCTACATTCTCTCTCCTTTTTTTTTTTTTTTGAGGTACTGGGGCATGAACTTGGGGCCTACACCTCAAGCCACTCTATCAGTGATGAGTTTTTTTGAACTATTTGCCTGGGCTGGCTTTGAACCTCAGTCCTCCTGATCTTTGCCTCCTGAGTAGCTAGGATTACAGGCATGAGCCACCAGTGCTCAATTTTGTTCTTTTTTTGTGTGTGATACTGGCATTTCACACACAGGGCCTCATACTTGCTAGGCGGGCACTCTACCACTTGAGCCACTTTGCCAGCCCTCATGTTCCCCTGTGGATTCAGAATGGACATGGACACCTTGCATGAGGAAGCAGTGACTATTTCCCTTCCTCCTTAAAGAGACTCCAGGTTTCTCCAATATCCAGTGCCTCCTGGATATAAGTAGATTTTTCCATTGGTGAATTAAAATCCACTTACCTAATTTATTTCATTTCTCCTTCCCTAAACTTCTCTTATTTTTGTTATGTCCCTGTCTAGTTCCCATGCCTGAAAGCTAAGTGTCGTCTTAGACTTCACATTCCTTCAGTGTCCTAGCCTTGTTAATAGTTCTCACAGACTCACCTCGTATTCCTAGTGGCACTGCCACTTCCCTAATTCATGCCCTCATTAACTCCCTCAGCATCACATGTCTTAACTAGCCTCTTCCCTGCCACAGTTCATTTAGGGTATAGCTGCCAGACTAGCTTTCCTGAGGCCCAGCTAAGACCTGAGCCACCAGGCTCAGACCTTCAGTGATTTCTCATTATGTAGACTGACAGGCAGTTGCTCCCTGATCTGGTGCTGGCTCCAAGTTCCAACCTCAGTTTTCATTATTCCTCTCTTATGCTAGTCATCTGATGTGGCCATTCCTACCTCTCTCCTTTTTAAGTATATATTTAGAGAACGTATTCTAGTAAAGGAAGCTTGAATGGTAGAGAACTGAAAATATTAGAAATTTCTATACAACAAACAGTAACTCAATCAACTTTATAGATATTCTAGTTAAGGATTCAGTCACCCTGTTTTCTTTTGCATAGGTATTACACGTAAATGGGAAATATGCTGGCTCAGTCAACACAAATAAACAAACAAACAGCAGCCCTGAAGATACTAGAAATAGTCTCAAGTTTTCTAAACAGTGTCAAATAGGTTTCAATAACACAACATTCTACAGAAAGGTAAAACCCTTAATTTGATTCAGAATTTTTTTCATGGCAGAAGCATGACTGGTTTTAATTTTTAAATAGAGATTGGTATCAAAGCATATCAACTTACTAATAATTAAGTCATTTTGCATATACACTATTTCAGTGTGGATACAAAATTAAGATTATTTGCTATGATATCTTTAACTTTTTTTTTTCCATTACTGGAGTTTGAACTTGGGGCCTCACACTTGCTAGGCAGACACTCTACCAGCCCAGTATTTTAACATTTTAGTATCTTTTCAATATCGGAAAATAGCTAACAGATTTATGTCTTTTCTTATAAAACACAATCTTTTCTTAATTCCTCTAGTTTTTTTTTTTTTTGGTGGTAGTACTGGGATTTGAACTCAGGACTTTGTGCTTCCAAGGCAAGAACTCTGCTGTTTGAGCCACACCTCCAGCATAAAACACAATCTTAAAAACAAATTAAGGCAGGTCATAGTGGCATATGCCTATAATCCAGCCAGAAGGATCATGAGTTTGAGGTCAGCTTGGGCTATATAGTAAGTCTATTTCAAAAAACAAACAACAACAACCAAAAAAAAAACCAAGTTAATGATGTGTGGTCTTGGTTCCTAGTAATGAATCCTATATTATTTTTCATATAATAGGAATTATATTCTTCTGGGATATTCAGAATTGCATGAGTTAGCATATGTAGCTCTTAAACCACATTAAACAAATAAGCATATAAGTCTAAGCCTGGCATCCATGGCTCACACCCGTAAGCTACTTGGGAGGCTAAGGCCCAGCAGTTCAAAGCCAGGCCAGGCCAATAGTTGGAGAGCCCACCATCTCCAAAATTCCAGAGCAAAATGGACTGGAGGTGTGGCTTAACTGGTAGAGCACCTGCTTTGCAAGCACAAAGCCCTGAGTTCAAACCCCAGTCCCATCAGAAAAAAAACAAAAAACCCAAAACACACAAATCCCAGCTTCTGCAAGATAAACCATCATTTTTGCACACTTGCGTCTCATTGCAGTTCAATCTGTTCTTTGGAAATGTTTTCCCACTTCAATGTGAAATAAATTGTCAGGGTATCAGTGAGCAGAACTTGTGCCATTGTGCCATAGTCCTGACAAACCTAAACAAAACAAACAAAAACAAAGAATCCCCACTGGATTTTAACCAAATGTGATTAACTTTAGCAGGTGGCCTACTCAAGGCAATGCCTTTCCTTTGCCATGTCACTGCCCCCTAACCCCCGCCCTGCCCCACCCATCGCTGCCCAGGATCTAGGGATTTTTTTTTTTATTTGTTTGTTTATGTGACAGGCTTTGGAAAAGGATGATAGGCTCTCTTTCTCTCTCACAATGGTTTATTTATAAGCGGCCAGCTGTCTTAGAGACTGCTTAAGCAACATCAGATCTTTATTATGGTTCTTTTTTCTAAGAAGAGCAGTGGGCTGATCTTCATTACTATTATATAACTTGCGTTTCTTTCCAACATTGGGGTTTTAGGTATCCCAATATCTTAACTGCCAACATGTCATGGGGCACTGAGGACTTTGCTTGGCTGTCTTGACCATCCCTAGGCTGCTGGCTGGAAGAACTCAGGGCTATTCCACCCCTGGCCTCTGGCACCCACTACCCTGCACTTTTACCATGCAACAGCTCTTTGCTCTTCTCTCCTCTGAGGCCTGAGATTTGCCTATCCAAATTGTACCCATGGGTCAGTTTTTTAAACGTTTGAAGGTTTTATGGAATAGTTTCAGAAATAGTGCCTGGAGGGAAATGGAGAAGGGATGGTGAGAGGACACAGAGTTTCGGTTGGATAGGAGGAATAAGTTCTGGGATGCAGCATGGTGACTATATAATAATATTGTGTTACAGTCTTAAAAATTTCAAAAACAGATTTTAAATGCTCTCACCACAATAAGGTTGTGAAATGATGGATCCTTCCATTAATTTGACTTAATCATTCCTGATTGTATATGGGTAACAATAATATACAGTTGATATGTATAAAATATTGAGATGTATTATACCATAGACATATATAATTTTCCATTTGCCAGTTTTTATTTATTTATTTTATTATTTATTTTTTGGGGGTACTGGGATTTGAACTCAAGGCCTCACACTTGCTAGACAGGCACTCTTCCACTTGAGCCACTCCACCAGCCCATTTTTGAATTGGTTATTTTAGAGATAGGGTCTTTTTTTTTTAATTTTATTATTCATATGTGCATACAAGGCTTGGGTCATTTCTCCCCCCTGCCCCCACCCCCTCCCTTACCACCCACTCCGCCCCTCCCTCTCCCTCCCACCCCCTCAATACCCAGCAGAAACTATTTTGCCCTTATTTCTAATTTTGTTGTAGAGAGAGTATAAGCAATAATAGGAAGGAATAAGGGTTTTTGCCAGGGCTGGCTTCAAATCATGATCCTCCTGATCTTTGCCTCCTAAGTGGTTAGGATTACAGGTGTGAACCACCAGTGCCTGGCTTTCACTTGTCAATTTTTAAAAAGTAAGGAGTTCCTACAACTCCATCATCCAGCTTCCTCCTAATGCTCATACCTTATATAACCATAGTCCTGTGATGAGAACCAGGAAACATCAGTACCATAAGCTACATGTCTAATTCAGATTTCACCAGTGATGTCAGTAATGTCCTTGGTCTATTCCAGGACCCCAACCAGCGTCTCACGGTGCTTTGGGTATCCCGTCTTGTTAATCTCCTTCAGTATATGGTCATTCTTGGATTTCTTTGCCTTTCACAACTTTGACATTTTTGAAAAATACTGAACAGCTACTTTATAGACTATCTCCTGATTTGGATTTGTCTGATGTTTTCTCATAAAGAGGTTGAGATTGGGCATTTTGGACAAGAATTTCCCAGAAGTGACTGTGGTTTTCCAAGTGCATCATATCAGGAGTTAGAAGAGGTCAGTTAGTCTCATTCCTGGGGATATGAACCTTGATCACTAGAGTAAGATGGTGGGTGCCAGGTTTCTCTACTGTGACATTCCTTTTCTTCTCCCTGTAGTTAATAATTATCTTGGGGGAGATGCGAATATCCTGTTTATCTTCCATAATTGGTTTCAGCATGCATTGGTGGATATTGCCTACAATGTTTACTATGATGTTTATTTAATTGTGATTTTCTTCTATATTATTAATTGGAATTTGTGAGGAAGAGCTGTCCCTTCTCCCCCATTTTATTTTTTATTTGATCATTTGCTTGGATCAGTATAGATCCATGGATGTTTATTTTATTTCATGGGTTATAGCCCACTACTTATCCTTATTTATTTTGTTGCTTGAGTAGTTCTGGCCTTGACCCCTGGGAGCTACTTCAGTTTGTCTCCTGTGTCCTGTCAACATATCCCCTTCTTTTTTTGAGTACTTCCTTACTTTCTGGTACTGCAAAGGAAGTATATAGGTTCATCTGTATTTTTCTTTCCTCAGTCCTAGGATTAAGTATTTCTCCAGGGAGCATAGGTTTCTTAGGTGATAGTATTTAGAAACCAAGATCTGAGAGCTGAGTGTGCTCATTGCTCCTGGGATGTCATTGCTTCTAGGCCCTCCAAGCAGAGAGAACTAGGGAATATATGTGTATACATCATTCCACCACCACATGGCTATGTTTATTTCCATCATTTCTGTCACTTTCTCTCTTTCATCAAAAGCTCATGCTGATCAGTATGATTTCAAGACAGCACTGAAGGTTCATTCTAGCCTACCCCTTTTCCTTTTCCCCTTTTTGTCCTTCTCTCCCTAAAAGTGCAAAGCCTGGCTTTCACTACTATAATATATTTATTTATTCCAGCCTAGTATATAGGTAAACAAGTCTCAGACTTGCTAACCAACATCCCAGCGAGAAACAGATTTACTAACTTGAGTATAGTATCTGCGTACAGTGCCTTTTGTCTTTAGCTGTATAGTATTCAAAGTATTAGTTTCCAGGAGATTTAGGTTCATTCTTTCCTTCCTTACTCCCTTCACTATAGTTTTGCTACTTATTTTTAATACAATTTAATTAGTTTAGTTTGTATTCCACCATATCTTGGTTGAGTTACGGTTTGGGCTCATGCAGGGGATCACCCCAAGGCCTTGTGCATGTTAGGAAAGCACTCTACCACCTGAACTACATCCCTAGATCCTGGTTTAGTTACTTGCCTTTTGAGTTCATGAAGCATGATTGTGGTCCTAAAAGTCAGAGCTATATACAAAGGTATATTAGGTATATTAGGCATAGGGTTAAGTAGCAGAGTGCTTGCTAAGCAGGTGCAAGAACCCAGATTCAATCCTCCCACCATTCAATCCTCTTCTCACCTGTTTCCTGTAGTTTCCCAATCCCTTTAGATTTTTTGGTACTTTCCCTGAATTTCTTGTACACAAATGAGCAGACACATGTGTATTTCCTTATATTCCCCCTCTTTCTTACACAGAATAGCATACTTGAAGATAGATACTTTTTGCACTCAGCCTTTTTCACTTAAGAGCTCGTCTAGGAAATCACTGTAAATTAGTACAGAGGTCGTCCTCATTCTTTTCTACAGTGGCTCCATGGTGGGGACACACCAGAGTTTGTTCAGCCTCCCTCATCTGTACGAGCATTCAGATTCTTTCCAATATTTTAATTATAAATTAATTATAACATAATTATAAATAGTGCTGTAATTAATTGATGGAGATATAGTCCTAGAAGTGGGTGGCTGGCTTAGATGGTGAGTGCCTAGATGGTTCTATCAGGTATTGCAAAATCTTCCTCAACAGGATCGTACTGGTGTGAATTCCTGCAGTCTCACTGTCAAAATGTCTTGAAATACTTTTAGTATTGTTTTTAGACTGATAGCTGAGAAGTGATATTGCAGTGTTTTAACTTGTGGTTCTCTGATTATAAGTATGGTTGAGGGCTATTCTTTCATCTTTTTTTAAAAACTGGGCTGTGTGATGTTTTTTGCAACTTAATAAATGGTTCTCTTGATGTTTGTAGATATGGTAGGCAGTATTCAGAAATACGTGGTAATGGTAGTTTCTTTGATTGGTTTGTAGTCTTCAATAATTCTCGGGAGTTATTTGTATGACACTGCTTTTGAGCTCACAAGACTTGGCATATGCACTCATCGTTTTCCGGATTGGTGGTAACCCGTGTCTATTCCCGCCTCATGTCACAAGGCCCAACTCAGTGACACTATCTGTCTCCATAACACTCACCATTGATTATGGTGGGGATGAGGAATTCTTTTTCACACCAGGTATTGGCAGGCAAGTATTGGCCTGCTGAGTCTCCCTGGTCAGGTGGTTTTCTAGTAAAGCTGTCTGCAACACAGCCAATGTTGCTCTTCCATGCCTTCTTTTTTCTCTTTCCTGTTTGAATAACTTTTATTGCTTCTGCTTCTCCCTGGGCATAAACTCTCTGTCCTGGCAGAGAGACTTCCCATTTTACTGCCTTCTCTTTTTGTTTTTCTTTAATCATGCTGGAAAATACTTTTGCTGGGGACTGTCCTCTGTCCAGCAAATAGGCAGGTACTGCTTTCTGGGGAGTCATTTGGCCTTCTTTTGCTTTCTCTTTTCATATGCATCATAATAGCTTTGTTTTTCTGCTGCTGGGGATTGAACCCAAGACCTTACACATGCTAAGCCTGCTGGTGCTGGACAACTGAGCTACACCCTTGCCTTGGTAGCTTTTTCATTTGTATTTTCTCTGCATGAGCTATTCATGTTAGAGCTCAGCATTCAGAGCAATAATTTTTTTTTTTTTTTTGCCTCTCTTGAGTTTTCACAAGCCTTTCAACTTTTCCTCCTAACTCTTTTTCCTGTAGCATTCATAGCATTTAGATACAACTCAGTACACTCATGCTGTGGTAGGGACAGCGAAGAGCTGCCAGGTGCAGCTTCTAGGGTTCAAGGAAACTGAATTTTCTGGTCTCAGAGACTCCTGAGCTCACTCTGTGTAGCCTGAAACAGGAAAGGGCCACCTCTATACATTTCTTGTTTGTGTGAGAATTGTCTACTTACTTTGTTTTTTCTTTTTTTTATACTGTTTTTGTTCCTGTGTCTTTCAGTTTCTCAAGGTTCTTTAGATAAGGAGTATCCACCTTTTATTTGTAATATATTGTAAATATTTTCTTCTAGTACATCAGGGGTTTTTTGGTGCTGTTTGTTTTTTTGATATAGGGTCTCACTGTCCAGCCCAGGCTGGCCACAAACTCACAATCCTTCTCCCTCAGCCTCAGTGCTGGAATTGTAGGTGTGTGCCACCACACCTGGTGTTTTTTGTTTTTTGTTTTTTTCACTTTCTCTCTTGCCCATCTTGTAAGCTCCAGCTCAATTACTGGACATGAGTGACGCATCCTCAACATCCCAGTTTGGAGGCCTCCTTTCTCTCCTGAAATTCCAGCATACTTAAAGTTTATGTTTCAAAGTAGTTGGTTGCTATTTATGGGTATATCATATTTCATCTGGGTTTTAGTTATTCCTACAAGGCTTGACGCTCTAAGGATAAGATCAGTGTTTTTTTTCTTTCCAGCCCCAGAGTACTCAGCAGACAGCCTTGCAGTTCTCAGATATTGACTAAGTGAAATTATCAGATATTTAAGGAATAAGTGAACAATACAACAGAAATATGGCTTATGACCACCTGAAGAAGTGTGTGTGCACTTGTGTGTGCATGTACTCACACACGTGAGAGAGGTAGGAGGTAGGGTATCCAGCAACAGATTTACCTCTTGATAAACCTCAACTTTTTTTTTTTTCCTGGCAGTACTGGAGTTTGAACTCAGGGCTTCACACTTGCATGGCAAGTATTCTACCATTTGAGCCACTCAACCAGCCCTACTTTGTGATGCGTATTTTCAACATAGGGTCTTGTGAACTATTTTCTCAGGCTGGCTTCGAACCGTCATCCTCGTGATCTCTGCCTCCTGAGTAGCTAGGATTACAGGTGTGAGCCACCGGCGCCCAGCAATCTCAGTTATTTAAAAGCAAACAAGCAGTGTTGTAGAGGAAATGAGCTTATAGGAAAATCTGCCTGGAAACTTTTATTTTTTTAATTCCTTCTAACACAGGTACTGATTTACCATTTATCCATATTCCAATAAATCATAAGAATATTTACTTTTTATACATTATATTTATGTTACTTTAATCATTATGTATTGTTTCCCAGGGCTGATGTAACACAGTATCACAGACTAATGGCTTAAACATTAGAAACTTACTGTCTCACAGTTCTGCAAGCTAGAAGTCCAAACTTCACGTACCAACAGTGTTGGTTTCTGTTTTGCTCACGAACTGGGGTTTGAACTCAGGGCCTTGCTACACAGGCGCTCTGACTCTTGAGCTACTGTGCCAACCCTGGAGTTGGTTCCTTATGAGGGCTGTGGGAGAGAATCAGTCCCAGGTCTCCCTTCCAGGCTGTGGATGGCCTCTCATTCATGTCCACATGACATCCTCCCATCGATCATCAGTACATAGATGTCTGCAAGTCTCCTCTTCTTAAAACAGACTGCAGTCTTTCTAAGGTCCACCCTAGTGACCTCATCTTAACCTGTTGACCCCTGTAAGACCATGTACCCAAATAAGGTCATGTTGTGTCACTGAGGCCTGGGACTTCAATATATGAGTTTTGAGGAGGAACCACAATTAATGGGTAATCGTCCCACAACACTTTAGAAATGAAGCCTAAAGTCATCTGTCTTTTCTTAAGAGAATTATAAGCAATAGGATTTTCAGTCTGTAGTGTGTTCTCAGGGGGTCTCAGCATGTTGGGTGCTGTGTGCAGAATGTCACCCCGTATACATTTGATACAGGTTCCCTGCAAAAAGTCTGCAGTATTGTGAACTCACATTGTTTTATCTACAACATAGGTGCCAGAATCCCTGGAAGACCTCGGGTGTACATTGAGACCTGATCGCGCAGGGGTGGTGTATGAAGCCACCACTGTGGAGGTGGACATGTCTGCGTCCATCACACTGCAAGTGCTGGTTACCACCCCAGGGAACATTTCCTGTTTCTGGCTTTTTAAACACAGCTCCCTGGATTGCCAGCCCCATTTTGATGTACAAAACAGGTAAGAGAGGGGGATGTAGCCTATAAGGATATTTTGGAGCAATACTTTCTTGCATAAAATGTAGTCAGTTTGGAATTTCTTGTCGTTTCTGTCCATATCTACTGTAATTCTTATCTTCAGTAAACAATAAACCAAAAACGGAGTTAGGGTGTGGATGCATGACATTTTATATTTGTCAAATCCCATAGGATGTACAATGCAAAAAGTGAACCCTAATATAAACTGTGGACTTTGGTTAAGGATAACTGTATCAAATTGTTTTTAATGATAATAAATATACCACACTTGTACAAAATAGTAATAATATAGGAAGCTATGCTGTTGGGAAGGTTATATTTAGGATTTCCTTGTACTTTCTACTCAATTTTTTTATAAATCTAGAAACTGCTCTAAAAATAAAGTTATTGACTTAAGTATATATGTATATATACAAATTATATGGATATCATAGATATCTAGGTAGAACAGTGAGTGTTGAGTGGCTGGCAAAATGTAAAACAAATATTGAAGAGAATAGTTAGGATTTTTTAAAGTGTCTTATTTTTTAATTGGCTGTTAAGTTAAAGATAAAAATTAGCAAGTTTTCATTTTATTCTAGTTGAAGTAGCAAGAAAGTTCTTTCTGGGAAATGCTGGGGAGAGGACATTTGGCTTTATCTGTTTTCTTTCAAAATATTATAGGAAGCAATGCAATGTTACGTGATAATTATAAAATATTCGATCTGTCCATAAGGAACATTGGCCACTTTATCCAGAAAATACAACTTAGCCAAGATTTGTGGGAAATATCCAAACCTCTGTCTAACTCTGAGCTGATTGCTGTGCTGTGCTGTCCATCTCTTCTTGCTGAAACCAGCTAGGGCCAGGGCATAGGGTATTTAAATGCCTTCTGAATGAATTTTTCTTTTTAAATCATGGGGATGTTCTAGTGCCCATAGCTGTATGGAAAGCATTGTCTTTCTAGAAATGAAGCAGCAAATGATACTCCAGATGCCTGAGAGAGCATCATGCCCTTGATTGAAGCGTTGGAGTACCTCTCCATGACTGATTTGTACCAGTTATGTGTTTGTATTTGTTCTTTGAGGTCAAACAAATCTTGAGCAATTTTCAGGATGATGGGTATAATTCTAAAGTTTAGTTCTCAGTCTTGGAACACATTCATTTTCCTTTCCTCTTTTGAGATTGTATTACTCACTTCTGCTTTCTGGTTACTTTTATCTCAGAATTAAACCAAAGAACACTTCTATTAAGAATTTTGGTTAGGGGCTTGGTAGCTCCGTGGTAGATGCTTGCCTAGCATGTACAAGGCCCTGGGTTCTATCCTTAAAACTGCAAAAAAGAAAAAAATAATAAGTTTGGCTTAAAGAAATATTCTGGCATCCATTAAAATTTTATGCTCATACTGTTCTCACCAGATTGAGATCAAAAACCAATGTAGCAAAATAGGACTCTTTTCACTCCATGGAGGGCTGGCAGCCCTATTTGCTAGCCAGAGTCATAGTTACCCTGTAGGTTAGTTAACTTGGTACCAAAGCATGTTTAGTAACACTTTCACGGTAGAGAGTAGTAGAACTTTATATTTGGACTTTGACTTATGGACTGACATACTGAGCACCTAAGCTTTGAAGAGTTCACAAATGAGGGCTGGGGAGTGTGAGTCGGGTAGAGCACTTGGGTAGCATGTGTGAGACCCTGCAATTCATCCCCAGCAGTACAAACGTTCACAAATGATACAGGAGAGAGAATGGTTCAGAGAAAGAAGTTACATCACCAAAATTGATCTACAGAAGCAAATCAAATATTTGTTCTGCTAATTGCTCTATGTGTGGATGCAGGCGCAGGCTGTCCTGAGCCAGCTGCCTTGTGCTCCGAATCCGGGCTTCAGGAAGAAACCATGCATTTGGATTGCCTGGGGAATCTGGCTAAAATGCACATTCTGATCCCTTAGGTCTGAGTAAGGCCTGAGATTCTGTATCTACATGCTAACACTGTTAAAAGACCACGCTTTGAGTAGTAAGGGTATAAAAGTCAGACTGTGGGCTGGTGGAGTGGCTCAAGAGGTTGAGTGCCTGCCTAACAAGCATGAAGCCCTGGTTCAAACCCAGTACCACCAAAAGCAAGAAGAAAAAGATCCACAGATTAAAAGTCACACTGTGAGGACTGGGGGGCATGGCTCAAGTGGTAGAGGACCTACTTAGCAAAAGTGAGGCCCTGAGTTCAAAAAGGAAAAAAAAATGTGAATTGAAATCCAACATTCCTCAATAAACTGCTAGAGAGCACTATAAGCCCTAAGGAGGGTAGGTGTCACCAAATCCATATCCAAATGATCTCTTTGAAGAGATGACCACAGCCAAATTCACCTTTGTTGGAACTGTTCTAAGAATGGGGGAAAGGGAGATAAAGGAGGATGATAGAGGGGGTGAATTTAACTTGATATATTGTAAGTACTTTTGTAAATGTCACACTGTACCCCCTGTACAACAATAATATAATAATAAAAAATTTAAAAAAAAAGAAATACTGAGGCAGAGATGTCTGTCTCCTTACTCCTTTTTCCTCACTTTGCAAATGGGGAACTGAAGCTGGCAGCCAGATGACTGGACAAATATGACCATGGAAGGTGCTTTTTCACTGAAGGGAATGGCAGGTCACCATCAGTGTTCATGTACCATCAAGGCTGTATATTTCTGGATGGGAGTTTTCCCTCCAAGGGGCTTGGAAAACGTGAGCTGGTGGTGATGAGTAGAACTCACTTTTAAGGGTGGGACCAGTTAACAGTCAAGGTCAAACTAACACTGCTCAGGCTGGGTGTTAGGCACAGAGGCTGAATTCTCCATGAAGCAGCCCTGGGTGCTACAGTCATAGGGAGCTATCAACCCACTTCTGACTCAGTATGAAATTTTATGTTTTTAGTTTCACACATGTTCCAAACTAACCAGTTCTCTTTCCTGTTTCGCAGAGGCATTGTGTCCATGGTCATTTTGAAAATGACAGAGACCCAAGCTGGAGAATACCTACTTTTTATTCAAAGTGAAGCTACTAATTACACAGTCTTGTTTACAGTGAGTATAAGAAGTAAGTCCAGCTTACTACTAGGTATTCCTGTCTTCCAAAAAGGTGGCTTGGAATTTATGTTATTTTGATCCTTTTCCCAATATGTAGCTGAATTGATTGAGTTCACTTCATGCTGTCCATATAACCTTCAAATTGTATTGCTTTGACTTTTATTTGTTTACTTATGGTGGTACTGAGGCTTGAACTCAGGGCCTCATACTTGCTAAGCAGGTACTCTACCGCTTGAGCCACTCTGCCAGCCCTGCTTTTGTTTTTTTTTTAATCTAGGTTAAAATTAAAAAAAAAATTATTTTTGGCGGTCCTGTAGTTTGAACTCAGGGCCTTATGCTTGTTAGGAAGGTCTTCTACCATTTGAGCCACACCCAGCCCCTTAGAAGGGTGAGTCATATTAATTGATAGGCTTTTCTCTCTCTCTTTTTTTTTTTTTTGGTATTGACAGGCTCCCCTTGATCAAACTTTAGTTAGGAGGCTCCTCTGATGCTTTTTTTTTTTTTTTACAGTACCAGGATTTGAACTCAGGCCTAGTGCTTGCTAGGCAAGTATGTCCATGTAACCTACTGAGAAATGAGAATCCCTGAGATCTTCCTGTGGTCTCTCAAAATATGACTGCTCTTTAAACACTTTGTAATGCACTATTCAGGCCCCCTTCTTTTTTTTTTTTTTAGTAATGGATGGATGACAGGGAAGAATTAGAAACCACTTTGACCTTGGAATCAGAAGTCTTAGGTTCTATTTCTGGTTCCAATACTACCACCTTTGACAGGTTGCTGAATTTCTCTAAGCCCTGATTTCCTTATCTGTGAAAGCAGGATAAAAATATGCATGCAGAGGATTGTAAGGCTGCAGTGTGATCCAACCGAACTGTCTGACATGATGAAAATGTTCTGTCTACTCTGTCCAGGGGCATAGTCCCTGGCCACAGGTGGCCAGTGAGCACTCAGAATGTGGCTAGTGTAACTGAAGAACCAAAATGGTAATTGTATTCAATTTTAATTAATTACAATTCTAATTTAAGTAGCCAGGTTGTAGCTAGTAGCTACTGTATTGATCAGAGCAGTCCATACAAATGCCAGGCCATATGCCACTGTGAGGAACAATCCAAATGTCCTCACCTGGAGTGGCAGTGACAGGGTTGGTAAAGTCACCACCTCCAGGTGCCTTCTGGCTTCTCCTCATTTCATCCCATGACACACAGACCTAGCATTAGCACAGACTATGCTGTGCATACTCCCTACTCCTTTGCCTTTCATGACTAATAACGGTGACAGTAGTCATACAACTGGTTGTGTATCTGGGGCCCAGGCCAGAGCTTTCAGTTAGCATCTCTGGCTGCACATGGTACAACTTGCCAGGTAAATACACAAAGCTGGGTGTGATGCCTATGTGTGCAGCCCACAGAGGTGAGGGCCCCAGGTCAGGAATGACCATGGCTACACTTGTTGAAGGTGCTCTTTGGGTGTTCCCTCAAGAGCTCACAGTGACCCTGTCTCTGAGTTGGTGTGGAAGCAGACATCTGCAATGTGTGAGGATGGGCACAATGGGGCTGGTGAAAACCAGGCCTGCACTTTCTGCACTTCATAGCTGGGCCTTGTGGGAGAGTCACTGACTCAGGGCTGCTGACTGGAGGTTCTTGGATATCATCTTTTTGAGATTGAGGCAGCAAATGGTACCCCAAAGGCCTGAGAGAGTATCATGCTCTTGACATACATAGGGTGTTAGGTCCTACAGTCAGCCTGTAAGGCAAAATTGTGAAGCCAAAATTGTTCTGAAAAGCCCTCAGTTACTCTGATTGTGGTAGGACCAGAGCTGGGAAATGCAAAATCCAAGAGCTGTTTTGCGTTGCTCTTTGCTTTGGGTCTTGATTCCTGTCTTTGTCTTAGTTGTTTGTCTCCCCTCTGTGGGACAGGAAGTATGTACTCCAGGTTGGAAGAAGATTAGAAGGATAAGAAATTTCTCTCTGTCTCTATCCCTTTCTCTCTTGCCATGGGTACATCATGGCCGTATTATATTTAGGATACTTTCTTTTCACTTAAGATTTATAATGAAAAATTACCACCACATGCTGGGTGTGGTGGTATACACCTGTAACCCCAGCACTCTCTGAGTCTGAGGCAAGAGGATAGTAGGTTCAAGGCCAGCCTAAAGTACGTAGTAAGACCCTTTTTTAAAAAAAAAAAAAAAATCATTCAAGTAAATTATAACATTTGTAGTATTATTCTGGATGGTGGAATTAAAAAAACAAAAAACAGCTGGGAGAGACTTGGCAATGGCCGACGTGAACGTCGGTCATAAGCTCAATATCACCACAAGTGTGGCGTGGCTGCAAAAAAGTGAAGTTGAACCTTGGCAGTGTCTAGCTTAAGGAAATTAATAGGTTATTCATTTCAATTCTGCATTTTTTCAGCTAAATATGGACAATATATAGAGCAACCAAGATCTGAGAAATTTAGCATTCCTTAAATTAGGAGCAAGTCAGGGAGATAGGAATGTTTAACATAGAGAAGGAAATACTGTGAGGAGTGGAGATTTATTAAAATATAATATAAATAGAGGAAGTTCTTCCTGGCTTTGACTCAGAAACCTGGGGCTAACTAGCAAAAATACCTTGAGTGGTAATTATCTCCCTTAACTTGGTTTCTAACTTTAAATATTTAAAGAATTGTAATGTGGAAGCAAAGCTATACTTTAAAAAACAGTTGCTCTAGAGGATAGGACTACGCCAAAGGTTAGAAATGATGGAGCCAAAAAGTAAAAACAACCTAAAAATGGGAAAAATACTTGCAGTTTATATTCTACAAAGTTTATTCATGATATGCAAAGAGCTTCTGTAAGCCAATATGAAGTAAAGTAGTATTATATAGATATATATTGAATAATATATAACATTTTTAAACAAAATGTATTATAAGGAGAGAAATTGGAATTAAGTATAGGAAATTTTTCATTAAAAAAAGTCAGTGAAGGCTGGCAGAGTAGCTCAAGTGGTAGAGCAACTGCCCAGCAAATGTGAGGCCCTAAGTTCAAACCCCAGTACCACCTAAGAAAAAAAAGTTAGTAAAAAAATTGGAATGCTTTTCACACTGGAATGTAGTGGCCTGCAGTTTTTAGAAAAGTCCAAAACCTTTAGAAGTAATGCCTGTAATTCTAGCACTAGGAAGGGTGGAGGCAGGAAGATTGTGAAATAAGGAGAGAAATTGGAATTAATATAGGAAAATTTTTCATTAAAAAAGTCAGTGAAGGCTGGCAGAGTAGCTCAAGTGGTAGAGCAACTGCCCAGCAAATGTGGGCCTAAGTTCAAACCCCGTACCACTAAGAAAAAAAAGTTAGTAAAAAAATTGGAATGCTTTTCACACTGGAATGTAGTGGCCTGCAGTTTTTAGAAAAGTCCAAAACCTTTAGAAGTAATGCCTGTAATTCTAGCACTAGGAAGGTGGAGGCAGGAAGATTGTGAATTTGAGGCCAGTCTGAGCTATAGAGTGAGACCTTGTCTTTAAAAAAGAAAGAAGTTGCCGGGCACCAGTGGCTCATGCCTGTAATCCTAGCTATTCAGGAGGCAGAGATCAGGAAGATCGTGGTTTGAAGCCAGCCCAGACAAATAGTTAGCAAGACCTATCTCAAAAAAACCCATCACAAAAAAGGGCTGGTAGAAAGGCTCAGGGTGTAGGCCCTGAGTTCTAGCCCACAAAAAAAAAAAAAAAAGAGAGAAAGAAAGAAAGAAGGAAAGGAGAGACGAGATGGAGAAGGAGAAGAAAAAGAGGAGAGCAGGAGAGGGAAAGGAGGGAAGAAGAAAGCCCAGCAGGAATAGGAAGTTTATATGTTAGGCATGGTTAGGAGCAGAGGGGTGTGTGTGTGTGTGTGTAATGGGAGGCTCAACTAAACCGGTACATTCTGTCCCAATTCTAACTGCATCCTACTCTATTTCTGCATTTCTACACCATGATACATTTCTCTCTAGTTGTATATGAAATTATAGGAAGAGAGTTGTTTTAAGCTTAAAATCTAAAATGTTTATAATTTATGATGCTTTAGATACACTGCTGTACACATTAAGAAGACCTTACTTTAGAAAAATGGAAAATCAGGACGCACTGGTGTGCATATCTGAGAGTGTTCCAGAGCCTGTCGTGGAATGGGTACTCTGTGATGCACAGGTCGAAAGGTAGGACATACATAGAGGTAACTGCTATTATTATTATTTTTTGATGCTTTTCTAATGTAGCTAACATCATACCATATGTAAAATTTAATTTACCCCCATTCCAACAGAAAACTCTCTTTAAACGTAAAGAATGACTGATATGGGACTCACAGGGAACAAGATGGGGGTTTGTTTAGGAAGGGGGCCTTTGTTTGAGATGTCCTCAAATCAACTGCAGGGTCATGTTCCACATAGCACCACACAAATAAAAACCCTTTTAAGTTAGAGGATTGTTGGCTTCCCATATATCTGACTGGAGGAAAAAGAAAGATACTGATTTCCTGTGACTTAATGTTTAATTTGTGATTGTTCTGGAAAAGCACTTTAAAGATAGTTGATTGTAGATATAGAATCTAGGACTAGGTAGCTTGGCTTTGAGCCCTGGTTTGTTTATCAGCTGTGTGGCCTTGGTCACAAGTTACTTAGCCTCTCTGTGCCTCAACAGAAGAATGGGATTTGTAGCAAGTACTTACCTTACAGGATGGTTCTGATGATTGCATGAGTTGATATCTGAAGCACATAGAACAGTGCCTGGCAGATAAATAAGTACAGAGTAACTGTTAACTGTTGTTTTGCAAATGTGCTATAACTCAGTTCTCACTAAGTAAGAATTTACACAGTTTGAGCTAGTTAAAATCTAATAAAGCACTTTGTGGAAAAACTGGACAATATGTAAATATATCTGTGTGTGTGTATGTATGCACATATACACATGTATATATGACTTATAGAAAAAAAGATTGGAAAGATACACATCATGTAATAACAGTTATTTCTTAGGGAATAGGAATTTGGGTAATTTAAAATTCTTTTCTTTGAGTGTTTCTCTATTTTCCAACATTTCTATAATGAACTCAATTGCTATTGCTTTTTTTTTTTTTTTTTTTTTTGCGGTACTGAACTCAGAGCCTACACCTTGAGCCACTCCAGCAGCCCTTTTTTTTGTGATGGGTTTTTTTCAACATAGGGTCTTCGAACTATTTTCCCAGGCTAGCTTTGAACTGTGATCCTTCTGATCTCTGCCTCTTGAGTAGCTAGGATTACAGGTGTGAGCCCAATACTGTTGTCTTCTTATAAGAAAAAAGTAACTCAAGGAAGACACAGAAACCATCGATAGAGTGTATTGAATTCGAGGGATAAAGACAAGAGGACTCTACACAAACTCTAAAATCATTGTCAGCTTTGGGGAAAGTCGTGGCTATGGAAACTTCATTAGGAAAGCCCATTTTCTGTTGATCTGTTGAACATGGAGATGGCTTGGCTGCCTTCCTGAGAGACACCTTGGCTTCTTTCTTCTTCTGTTTGCTTTGGGGATTCTGGTGCCTCTGGCAACTTCAACCTCTCTCCCTCTCCCTGGTCTTCCTCTTCCGTGCTCAGAAGAAAAACATACAGATCTTTTAAAGCCCTTTCCTATCTCTCTGTCCTCTTTCTGTCTTCCTTCTCAGTTCTTCCTTTATTTCCCTATCTTTAAATAACAATGGAAAAAAAAGAGTGACCAAGCAAAAGAAAATGTAAGCTATTTTGTCATGCAACATTATTCTAATTAGTTGAGATTACTTAGCTAGCTCTCTATGAATTCTTGGCTGAAGCCCTAGACGTGGTTTGTTTTCCTTTCAACCTTGCTTTTGCTTTTTTTTTTTTTTTTTTGGCACAAATGGGGCTTGAATTTAGGGCCTCACACTTGCTAGGCAGATGCTCTACCACTTAAGCCATTCCACCAGCTCTAGACCTTGTTTTTTTTGGTGGGGGTGGGGGGTACGGGTACCCTCCTGCTTGAGCCAGGCCTCCAGCCATTTTTGCTCTGATTATTTTGGAGATAGGGTCTGTTTTTTTGCCCAGGCACAGACTGCAATCCTCCTATTTTACACGGTAGCTGGGATGATAGCTGAGCACCCCCACACCCAGCTTCTTTCCTTTGAGATGGGGTCTCTCAGACTTTTATGCCCAGAGTGGCCAGGAACCACAATCCTCTGGATCTCAGCCTCTCAAGTAGCTAGGATTACAGGTGTGAGCCACCAGCGCCCATCTTGACCTGCTCTTTTCTTTGGTCCCTTAAAAAAGGCTTTAAACCTGCAACTTTTTTTTTCTACTGAACATTTCTATTTCTGTTTTCTTTTTTTTTTTCCCCCAATGCTGGGAATTGAACCCCAGCTTGCATTTGTCATTTTAAAACATATTTAGCCATTGGGCATTTATTTCTAATTGCAGCTGTAAAGAAGAAAGTCCAGCAGTTGTGAAAAAGGAGGAAAAGGTTCTTCATGAATTATTTGGAACAGACATAAGGTGCTGTGCAACAAATGAACTTGGCAAAGAATGTACCAAGCTGTTCACAATAGGTAATTCTGTAGTATCCCGTGCTTTCATTTTTAGTTACTGCTCCTTAGAAAACTGTCTGGGACTAATAGCAACTGCTTAGGTGATCATCAAACTTCAGAAATTCTTCCTTTCCTTTGTATTTTTTTTTTGTAGGTGCTGAGATCAAATGTAGGGCCTCATGCATGTTAACCACACACTTGACTACGGAGCTATACCCCAGCCCCCTTAGACCATTTTAAATGTAATAGTATGGATTCTGTAAGTGGTGATTTCTTTATGAAAGACTAGTCAGTCTCCAGATGATTATTTTATGAATTAAATTAGAAACACTGGAGATGGTAAAATCTTTGTTCTTCAAGATGGTCAAGATATATTTTGTGATGAGAAAAAAAGTCACGTTTTTGTCTTCTTCTAGATCTAAATAAAACTCCTCAGACCACACTGCCTCAATTGTTCCTGAAAGTTGGGGAGCCCTTGTGGATAAGGTGCAAAGCTGTTCACGTGAATCATGGGTTTGGGCTCACTTGGGAATTAGAAAACAAAGCCCTGGAGGAGGTAATGTGACAAGTTTGCACTCCAAAAATTTAGGACCATGAGCTAATAGCACTGGCTGGCAACATTCAAAGCAAATTCTGTTTTATTACACCTAGGGTAGCTACTTTGAGATGAGTACCTATTCAACGAACAGAACTATGATACGGATTCTGTTTGCTTTTGTATCATCAGTGGGAAGAAACGACACTGGATATTACACTTGCTCCTCCTCACAGCATCCCAGCCAATCAGCTCTGGTGACCATCCTAGGTAATGCAGGCTCACCATGCAATTTTTATCCGTATTTTTAGTTGCTTATAGTGTGGAATGTCAGATAGGTAATACAAATTCTGTATCATGCTGCCCTGAAAAAGCTGAAAGAGAAATCAAGTTAGGAAAACCTTGCAAAGATAAAGTGCCCACTGCCTTCCTTTCCCAAATATAAATACAAAAGTATTTGTCCTCCAATAGACTGTAAGTTTCCTGAGGACAGGGACCATCATCGCTTTTGTCCTCCTAGTCCCAGAACCTGATACAAGACAGGTGCTTAATAAATGCTTATTCTGAGAATCTACTGCCAGCACAGTGAGCAATGCCTTGGAGAATTGTTCATACACTGAGGTAAATGGAAATTTGGTGGGCTTTGCAGAATTTGAAAATAGCCATGCTCCACTGTACACATGTATGGAATTGTCACAACGAAATGCCCTCATATGTTAATGTCTGATAATTCAAAAATAAAATTTTTCAAAAGAAAATAACCAGAGTAGGGTACAACCTGTAGCCATAATGACAATGCAAAGAAATGCTGTCATTCTCTTAGCACACTAGTAAGAAGTGTCCCAGATAGGACCTCATGCTAGCCAGGTTGCTTTTGTATTTGTGCCTTGAGATTATTTTATGTGGGACCTGACGCTGACAGAGTCATTGTTCTGGATGAGAACAGGGTCTTCCAGACCCTTCCCTAGTGTGTACATGTTTGTCTGAAGAATCTGTAGGGTTTTTTTTTTTTTTTGTATAGTTATCTGGGAAGAAGCTCAGCTATTTACATCCCATTCTTTAAGGAATCTTAAATCTAAAAGATTATGAGCTCAGACTTAAAACTGAGGCTTAGATTTCTACATTTCTTCTTGGACTATCAAACCTGATTTGCAGCACGCCAGCATCTCAGCTTTCTTGCGTGAACCTGATGAATAGAAAGTTGTTTTCCCATCTCAATACATTGCCAGATAAATCTCAGTGTCTCATTCATAAATGCTTTTTTTTTCTTACAGAAAAAGGATTTATAAATGCTACCAATTCAAGTGAAGCTTATGAAATTGACCAGTATGAAGAGTTTTGTTTTTCTGTCAGGTTTAAAGCATATCCACAAATCCAGTGTACGTGGACTTTTTCTAGAAAATCATTTCCTTGTGAACAAAGTGGTCTTGAAGATGGTTACAGGTGAGAGAACTCAGAGCTCTAAGACTTACTGTTCTTAGCACAATTGTCCTTACTCAGTGCCCTTCAGAAGGACAGTTTTGTTCTCATGAAAGTGAATTCTCCTATCATGAGTTTTTTGTATGTATTTTGGAGGTGCTGAGGATCGAATCCAGGGCTTTGTGAATGCTAGGCAAGCACTCCACCACTGTGCCATCCACCCTTGGAAATTCATGTCTTATTGAGTTGAAATTAAACAAGAAAGCAAACAGCACACTACTATGAGGATATGGTAGCAAACTTAACAATGGCTTCAGAATATAGGGAATCCTACTGATGTGAATATGGGCTTGTGGAATTTTCTGAGTCACAAGGTTCTTACTTCTATTTGAGAGTGCTGTGCTGTAGTACCTGAGTCAACCTGAGCCCTCAAGGAAACAAAACTCCTTAAAACCAGGAAAATATTACCTATAGCATATTGATGTATATCTTCAAAAAAATAAATGCAGAAATAACACAACCATAAGTGGTGAAGGAAAATTTGGTTCTAGGGATTTGCACAGGTATAGTCAAGACTGTCTTAAGGGAAGAATTCTTCCTTCCCTCTTTGGAAAAGCAAAAACCAACTTTTCGCCTGTATTGTCTGTAGCTATGACCCCTCTCAGTGCTTAGAAGTAATCCTGTGTGACATGGGCTTCAGCTAGACAATGACAGACCAAGAGACTATGCCTGCTCTCAAGCAAGTCTCAGCATGCACTCCACAAACCAACTGTCTCAGAGTCATCCTGAATCAAAATTGAGACAAATTTCCCAGATTTTTTTAAAGAAAATTTTATATGCTTAATTTTTTTTGCATAGTACTAGGTTTTGAACTCAGGGCTTTATGCTTGCTAGGAAGGTACTCCACTGTTTTAGCCACGTTTTTTTCTAAATTTTGAGGTAGGGGTTTGTTGTGTGGCCCAGGTTGGCCTTGAACCACTGGGCTCAAGTGATTCTCTTGCCTCAGCTTCCCAAGTAGCTGGGACTGTAAGCATGAGCCACTTTACTGGGCAGTAGTGCATTTTTGATAAAAACCTTTGGTGATTTTTACCACTGATCTGCTGTCCAGGACAGGAGTCTCCAACCACATGTGGCTGGTGATAATGTCACATGTGCCAGTCCAACTTGACACATGCTACAACTTTATAGTTATATATTTTATAATGCACACTATATTTTGAAGCCTTAAGTATGAAAAATGTAAAATATCTCCTTCATAAATTTTGCATTGATTATGTGTTAAAATGATGATACTTTGCTTATATTGAGTTAAATGAAATCAACTATTAAACTTAATTTCACCTGCTTCTTTGTACTTTCTTCACATAGCTAGCTGACTGGGAATTTACAGAATGGCACATGTGGTTTTCATGTTGTAGTTTGTTTTTTAACTTTTTTTTTTTTTTGGTGGTACTGGGCTTTGAACTCAGCATCTTACACTTGCTAGGCAGGCGCTCTACCACTTGAGCCATTCCACCAGACTCATTTTGTCGAATAGCTCTAGTCTAGTTGGAAGAGTAATAATTGAATTCTTCTCATCTTGACTCTGCTAAATGTTTGTTTCATGACTATTGTGCCATTACTATGGTCTTTATTTGGATTTTTTTTCCTCTGATGCTGGAGATGAACCCAGGGCCTTGTACATGCTAGGCAAGTGTACTACCACTGAGCAACACCCCCCAGCCCTGTTTGTATTTTTATAAAAAGAGATTGCAAGGAACTATCTACATTTTCTTGCAGAAACTCCCTAATGTTGAAATGATTTATTGTCAAGGTAATTAGGAAAGCAGCCTTTGGCCTGTGAGCTGCCAAATACATACTCCCCTGACTCGGGGTTTCTCAACAGGAGCACACTGACATGTTGGTCTGGCTCATTCTCTGTGTAGAGGACTGTCTTGTGCATTGTAGGGTATTTGCCAGCATCCCTGGTCTCCCCCCACCGGATGCCAGTAGCACATCTTCCTTCTCCCAGTCATAATGACCAAAAATCTCTCCAGAAATTGTCAAATATCCCCTGGTAGGAAAAATGGCCACTGGCTGAGAACCACTGCCTTAGAAGGGTCACCCCATCATCCTCAGCTCTTCCTCAGAACCATCAGACTAAACCTGAAAGTAGGTCAGGCAGTGAGCAAGCCCCACTTGACCCTCCTTGAATTGATTGGTTGTCACATAGCAGTGCATTGCTATCTCTTCTCTTCTTTGTATTGTGTATCATTGTATTATCTAATCATGCTAGAAATGCTCCAAGCATTGTGGGAATTGCTTATGACTCTGATTCAAAGAGATAAAGGATCAATTCAAATGGCACCTTAATATCTTCTTGGGTTTGGATAAAGTATAGCCTCTCTCCTTCCTCCCCAGAGTTACACATTGCTTCTGTGCTGGTGGCCCCTTGTGTAACCAGAGGTTTTACAGAATCAGTGGGGAGAGGGCTATGTCTCTGACATTTAGATCATGGGCCAAGCTGATGAGCTAGTTATCTAATGTCATCTCATGGCCACAATCTGCATCCCTGAGCCTAAGTAGTTTCTTGTAGAGACAGCCAAATGAGTGAATGAGTCAGGGCAGATCATGACTTCCATGGTGGTCTATACCTCTCTCGTTCCTAATTATCTGGTAACAATTATCTTTCTGTATGCCGGCTCTTACCTATGAGTTTATAATCTCCGTGAAGATTGGTGCTCTGAGCCGGGCTGAGGTCAGGAGGATTACGGTTTGAGGCTAGCCCAGGCAAATACTCCAAGAGACCCCATCTCCAAAATAACCAGAGCAAAATAGACTGAGGTGTCACTCAAGTGGTAGAGCGCCTGCTTTGCAAGTGCAAAGCTTGAGTTCAAACCACAACCCCACAAAGGGGGAAAAAAAAAAAAAGACAGGTACTCTGTAATTGCTCTATCTCTGTGTAAGGCCTTATTAGGGAAATGCATGTGTAATAAAGGATTGTGTTTATCCTCATCTCTGGAAAGAGCTCAAAGTGCATAGTGTGGGTCCAAGGATGAACCAGCGGCATCCTCTTTGTACTGTAAGGACCACTCAGCACTTACCACCACTCAGCATTCAGTGTTTGCTTTTTTTAAAAGTTCTCAAAGAGGCTATAGTTTTCCTTGGTGCTAATGAGGGGACAGGTGTTATGGGCCACTGGAATACCTTAGGCAAAGGAAAGATGTTAAAAAAAAATTGTATATGTATTTGTGAGTCAGGGTCTGTCCTCATGTCTCAGTCCTCAAGTACTGGATTGCAAGACATGTGCCACCAATGACCAACTCAAGGTGCTCAAAATATTGGACAAAAACTGAACAATGAAAAACTGAAACACATTTCCGAGTGCCCCAAATGTCTTTTTTGGCTCTGTGTGGAGATGGGACATGATATGAGTTCTTTTCACCTTGTGATCATAGAAATGTTTCAAATTTACTAGGAAGCCACAAGAATAATACAGCCAGCATCCTTGATTTACCATCTCGATTCAGCAATTCGGTTGATCTGAATTGGAGTGGTTAAGTGCAGGATTTTAGTCAGGTTGTGAGAGTTGATTCTGGTGGCGTAGTGACACGAGTGTTTCTTTTGTTTCATCTGTAATGGAAAGGCCCGGTCATAACAATAGTCCTGCAGAAGCTTTGGTGTGGTCATGGTGTGTGCCAGAAGTCCTCGGCTTCCCCACTTTCTCAGCCTCATTTCTCCAATTCACTTCCTCAAATTTTCACCAGGGTTTATTAGGGCTTGCCTTTATGTGTTTGTGTTTTATTAAATTTTAACTTGCCAGCTGTCTTGGTATCCTGGTCTTGATAAAAGATTCCAGCATATTTCACCTGTTAGTTTGCATATCTGTCTATAGTCTTAATAATAAACACCAAATATGTCTTAGCGTTTCGAAGTTTCAGAGTTAAAGTATATAACTTACTAGGCTTACAATTATTTAGTGGTCTCTTCTGGAAGCGTCTCCTTAGTCTTGCCCACTTCTTGGGGTTTCCTTTTTCCCTGAAATATTTCATTTTCTCCTCTGTGAATCTCAGTTCTGCCCCTACCAACCACTCACAGAGCATTTCCCAAGGGGTGCTGGGGTCGTAGGTAATGAGTCAGGGGCTTGCTTAGGACAAAAACAGACACACAGAAGAAAACAGGCTCCCAAGTATGGTTAAATGCTGTGTCATTGCAGAAGCTTGTGGAACCTGTGGCAGAACTGCCTTCATTTTCTGCAAGAGCTGGGCCTGAGTGTGTGCAGAACAGAGGGAAAATATACCAAGAGCTGCCAACTAAATCATGTCCATTTTACTGCTGCTATTTGTGACAGCTGTCCTGGCTCCTTCCTCCCCCATGCCCCCAAATACCCTACTCAGTTGTAAGTTATCAGGCACACCTTATGAAGCCTGTTACTGAGAGTCCCATATGCTTGTCTGAGATCTTACCATGTGCCAGCCAGCGTGCAAAGTGCTATCGCGGATAGTCTCTTTAGTCCCCATTTATGAAATATGAATACAGAAGCTACGTTTCCTGATCAATCACACGGGGCAAAGGCAATGCCCTTCATTCAGTTTTATTTTCCGAAATGGCCTTTAAAAAATAGAAATTCCACCCATAATTCCATTCCAGTGGTAACATTTCAGACTTTTCCAGTTAACTCCATGGAAGCACCATGAAGTTGAGTGTGCCATTTGTAATCTGATTTTTCACTTAAAATATATCAGAAGTATCTTTTGATGCATAGTTGTATTATTTTATCTGCATTGCCATTTTTGGTTTTTCTGAGACAGGTCTCACTGTGTAGTTGAGGCTGGCCTCATATCATGATCCTTCTTCTTCTTGCCTCCTGAGTGCTGGGATTACAGGTGTGCAACACTACCCCAGCACCTCATTTTTAACAGCTGCATAGTAGCCATTGTGCATGTTTTATTTTAACCAACTCCTGCTGATGAGGAGGAGTTTCATTTTTTTCCCTTGTATCTTTCTTTTTATTTAAGTGTGCTTTTCCTACTTACTGTATACCC